ATATTAAATAAATATTAAAAAATATTTTTTTAATATTATATTGCTAATTCGAATATTATTTAATGTATCATGAAATTATATATTTTATTTCATTGCATTTCATTTGCATTTAAATCTCCCTTATGGATCTCTAATTTCCTTCCGCCGCTCAAAGCATGATATTTTAAAACAAATAAGAAAGTAGACAAATATTTTTATACATACATAGAAAAAATTTTCTGATGTTTGATTTGCTCTAAAAATTTAGCTGGATACGAAAATAATTTTATAAAAATAATTTTATTATTATCAAAATGATTATGTAGGAATCTCAAGCATAATGAGCAACGCTGTATAAAGCGTAAAGAACGGATTTGACAATCCGTTCTTGCAATCCGTTTCGACGTCCTACATAATTATTTTGATAGTTTAATAAAATTATTTTTAAACCTGTATATAATTAAATTCTTAGATACATCAGTAAAAATCATTTCTGTTTAATTATATTATATATGATTCATCTTATTCATAATAAAGATTCGCTCGAATTCATTTAAAGTAATAAAAATAATTTGCTATTTAATTGTAGGAATGCATATAAATACTTCATACTAGTGATGTACTGGAAATTTTCTAACATACCTGATGAGATGCTCATGTCGTACTACAATTGCAGCTAAATCTTTCTTAAATCTTTCTTTTCTTGAGGAAGATATAGAGTTATTAGCTGTTTCGTTCACCAGATTGTTTATTGTTAATCTCAGATTTATGAGTTGGGAGCATACGTGCAGCACAAGTACCGAGACAAAACTATCAATCATGTAGTTAGCAAAGACTGAATATGCACCGCCGAAAAGTTGAATAATGTAAGTGATTTCGTAATTCGGACTCTTTTGAATGATTTCTAATCGATAGACAAGATTCCGTCGAGGCTGGTGTATATTTTTAAAAAGCCTCAACAAATGAAAAGATAGTGAAAATGTCGTTAAACCCAATGCGGACAAACAACATTTTAAGGACAAGTTTCTGCCACGTCTCGCGATTTTCAACATGGTATTTCGTTCCCAATTAGTTGTTGAAGTCATCCAATCGGTCATAATTGACATTATCAACGGCTGGAGTGCTTCCAAAATGAATATCAATATGAATATAAATTATTAAAATAAATAAGTTTCTAGACAGCACCATGTTCAAAATCGAAGCATAAGACATTTTAAACACACTGTTAAAAGTAATCTTTTAGAACGACTTCGACTAAATTCTCGAATTAACTTAATTGCCAGTTATACAGCTTATCCCCCAGATTTGGTAAAAATTAAATCTCTTATATACATTTTGTTTATATATTCTTAATCTTTTTTCAATGTATTGGGCATAATTTCAATGTATTGTGATTAATTAATTTAATAATTTTATTTATACTTAATAATGTTGATTAACTCTTTCTGAGTGACTGTGTGTGTGTGTGTGTGTTTGTGTGTGTGTGTGTGTGTGTGTTTTGAGAAATGGAAGATATAATATTTAGTTATTTTTTAAGATTTTGAGCTGAATACAAAAATAAGATTGAAAACTTAGCGGATCAAAATGTCGGATCTAAAAAATAAAATATATTAAATAAAATTATTTCTTGTGGTTCTATAAAGG